GAGTGAGTGGGAGGAGGAGGCGGAGGAGGAGGAGGAGGAGGAGGAGGAGGAGGAGGAGGAGGAGGAGGAGATACAAAGCCACACTGTCACACAATATCCACTTTTCTAAACGTCCCACACAAACTTTGATGAAAAATTTAGAAATGTCATGGAAGGTAGTTTAGAAACTAAAGGAGGAGAGATGTGAAATACATGTATCCCCATGAGTCATCACCGCTGAGAGGTGTTGTTCTTTTTTATAAGGACGCAGTAAAAGCGGGTGTGTGTGTTTTAAGGATGTTGATTGCTCCTTAAAATACAGAATAGCCCGTCTGTTGTTCAGCAGCAGCCTGGCTGCTTTAATGATTCCCATGTTTTGTGCCAGTTTCGATGTGAGTGTATGTTGAAGAGTACACACACACATTCGTTTCCTCAGTCAAGGACGTTGTATTTTCACCCACAAGATTACACAAAAGCACATTTTCACAAAACTAGAAGGATGCAACATGGATCAAGACAGAATCTTATAAATAATATTTTGTTTTCTATTTTTTTCTATTTGACGAATAGAGAATTCTTTTTAACATTTTATATTTTCACAAATATTTGTTTCATCTATGGATCTTGATGGTGTTTGCAATTTGGTGTAATGAATGTATTGTTGGGTCTTAGTGTAGGCATGTGCTGTACTTAGTCCCATTGTAGTTTGTTATTGTATAAGATTACTTCATTGAGGTGGGATTAAATAAAAAATCACCTAAAATACTTTGCAATCCTAACGTCTGAAATGATATAAAAATGGTAGACGACATCAGAAATAATATTAACAATATGTGGTTTTACAACTCTGTCAGCATCCATATAATGAAGAGTTGAATCGAAAACAAATTCTCAATATATTTTATACATGGGAAAAAGTTACCGTTCTACAAGCGTAGCAATTAAGCAATTAACTATTATAACATTGGTTATCGTCTGTGCCCTGTTTGTCCAGGTTGTGGGTTCATCTATGCAGTTAATTGGTGATCACCAGGCAGAGGACCGCCAGCTCATCTCAGAGGTGGTGATCACAAAGATGAACCAAGCTCTGGCTGCCAGGTCGTCCTCTGCTTCCCGTTCACCCGCTCGCTCCCCTCAGGGCATGAAGCCGACCACTGTGCAGCCCCAGCAGGTAGAAGCTGAAATGTTATACAACACATGAGTGTATAAGACTTTAATGCCTAAAGAACTTTTTTTTTTAAGCTCACTGCCGATTTCTGATGATTTCTTCTCTATCCCACTCTTTCTCTCTCTCTCTGTTTTTCTTTCTTTCTGCGTCTCCCCGCCCCCTCACTCTCTACCAGACTGCTGCCCTGAAGGAAGGAGTCGCAGATCCCAACAGGACCTCAGGCCAGCGCCCTCAACCTCAAGGTTGTCTGAACACTGTTGTTCACTGTAACGCGAGTGCTGCTGCTGTGGTGTCAAAGCATGTCTAAGAACATCTTTGGAAATCATACTGAAATGACATATCAAGTATTTGAAAAATGTATTTCTGTTTCAAACTGAGTACTAACTACTGCCATTAGTGGAAACAATCTTAGCTTTGACCTATGCTGCTGATAAATACTGTTAATATAGAGAGACCCCATATCCCAGATTACCATCACAAGTATAATGAAATTATGTTTGAACAATCTTCAGGGGAATTTTACAAATAGATAACGGGAAATACACTCACTTTCTTGTCAAGAGTTAGGTGAGAACATTGAGACCGACCTGTACAGAAAAAAATGAAGCTATAGCCAGTAGCTGTTAGCTTAGCTTAGAATAAAGACTGAAAACTGAGGGGAACAGTGACTCTACCCAAAGGAAACAAAGTCAGCCTATCAGCATCTCTTAATTTAAAAGGTTATATCCTGTTTTCTTAATGCATACGAAACAGAACAGCAAAAATGGCATGTGTAGTTTCATGCATGGAAGTTTAACTGACACATGTCCCCCTCTTAAAACCACAATATGTCATATAACCAGTATATTCCTCTCAGAGTAAGAGCATTGTATTTAGTCTGCATCCTCATCTCTGTTCCCTGATAACGAATGTCCATTATCATTACCTCTAACTAATACAATGCTATCATGTGGTCATGTGGCCTTGTCTCTCTTCAACTTGCGACTTGCATTTGAGTTAATAACAATCAAATTTACAGTACAGTGCACCTAACTGCAGCCATAGCTTCTGTGTTAGTGGGGTGACGTGTGTGCTCGGGGCTGATGTGTTCAATCTCAATGTGATGACTATGCTAAATTTACAAAGCCATTATTAGTGGAGTTGCGCTGTTTGTCAGTAAGTGCATTTTTGCACATTTGGTGTTTTTGTATTTGGCATGGTTGTGTGCAAATGCCTGTACTCCATGTGATGTTTGGTATGTTTGTGCTGGTCGCTCTAGAAATGCCAGCATTTTATGTGTGACATATTTTGACAGGAATTGTTTGAGAGTATCATGTGCCTAAAGGTTAATATTGGAATCTAAAATAAACTACAATAAACTACGACAGTTTTAAAGCTTTTAAAAATTCACATCAGTGGAAAACGTGTTTATTTAGATGGATGTTCTTATTTCTCTGCCTAGAAATGTAAATTCTTAAATCTTTTCCTTGTGATTACTGGGATAAAGTCTGGTCAGCTCAGTTTGCTTCTGTGGTTGACGCTTGGCTTTTGAATGCTTTTTAAATCCTTTTTTAAAAAATCCTTCTTCTGTCAAGAAACAAAGCCTCCTTTGCAGATTCTGAATGTTTTGTGAGTAACTGCTTGGTGTCATCTGTTTTTTGTATTAAACTTGTAGTTCTCTGTTATAATTCCTTAGACAAAGCAAAGTGGCTTAATATGGTTCACAATACATATGTTTCTTTCTCTGCACGATCACTCCTTATTTGCTTGGATCCAGACCATTGAGTTAACATTGGATCTTCACACATCATTCAGCTGCAAGTCTGTATGATTAAGTCTTTCCATTTCAATCTTTCCTGTTTTATGTAAAGAGATTTGTTTAGAACTGTGTCCTCAGATAAAACAGTGCAAATTCATGTAACATTGGCCGACAAATGTCATGAACATAGATTTATGAGCAAACCATCTCCAACCAAACTAAAATAACATAAATTCAGTGTTTGTATCCAAGCAAATTGGTTTTTTTTACTGTGTCACCCTTTCCAAATCATGTTTGTACAAATGGTATTTTCTTTGATTTTTATGCGTCGTGAGTCCCAAGCAACTATTGGGACGCTTTATGACAAACTGATAAAACGTAAGACTCATGGCCATTGAGCTGCATGACAGTAATGACTCTGTGAGAATGTCTGGGATGAATTTTCATGAAAGTCCTTGTGGTAATTAAACATCTAAATCTAAATAAAATTATAGAAAACCTTTTTAAATATGCTTTAACATATAATGCAGTAAACTGACCATAGTCCTGCATCCAGGAAAGTAAATGATCAGCCACTGAAAACTCATCCCTGTCTCGTCATTGCTCATGTAGCATGAAGAATCACTTGTTTCTTTTGTGCCTCACGGCGAGTTGCTTTGCTGCCTGTGTTTTTGAGCTGTTTTATTCCAATTACCCCCTTTGTTTGTTTTCTGTTTTTCATCCTCATCTCCTCCTCTTCCCTCTCGGTGCCTCTCACTGTCTCCACACTAACTCCTAACGTGCTCGAAAATCAACACTTTGCATGTCAGGCCAGTTGCCATGCCTCCTAGCTGTTGATGTGCTGCCCCCTGCTGGTCGCTGCAGCACAAACATTCAGAGGCTGCTTTGCTTCAGTCTGTTCTTGACAGATGAGTTGGGTTTTTTATGAATGTGACGGGTCTTTATGTGAATGGACATGTTTAGACTCAAGCTCAGTATCTGTATCGTGTTCTGCTTTGGTCTGTGGTGAGTGTCACAGATGCTTGGTTTTCTAACAGGTGCTACATTTTAAAATAACACTTGTTTCTTTCTTTATTTTTGCTTTTCTTGTCTCTGTGTGTTACATGGGTTATGTACGATTATCTAATATAACTGTCATATCTTTTAGGTGCACCAGTGAAATCAAAGAGTGTGGACCCATCATCAGAGTCAGCTAAGAAAGCATCTGAACCAGTGCCAAAGCCTGAGCAGGCCCAGAAACCTGGTCCAGGTCCTGCTCAGAGACCAGCTCAGAAGCCAAGCCCGGTCCAAAAGGCCGCCTCAGTCACAAAACCTCCAGTTCCGAGGCCTCCGCCGATGACGAGAGCCCCATCTGTCTCAAAGCCAGCCCCAGATTCTGCTTCCACCCCAGCCAAAGCTTCACCATCATCCCCAGCTAAAGCAGCAGCAGCTGCAGCAGCTCCAGCCTCTCCCCCAACCAAAGCAGCCGCAGCTGCCAAAGCTCCAGCCTCCTCTCCAGCTCCAGCCCCAGTCTCTCCCTCACCTCCAGCCCCAGCCCCAGCCTCTCCCTCACCCTCAGCTCCGACAACAGAGCAGCCCAAGCCCCAGCCTCAGGGCTCCCCATCCCCAGCTCCCGGCAAACCAAAAGAGCTGCCTCCCAAACCCACACCACCTGCAAAGCCCATCCCACCTGTACGCAGGAATTCAAGGCCTCAGCTTCAGCCAAAGCCACAAACCCCGCCTCCTCCCAAAGCTGTACCCAAACCCCAGCCCGCCGCACCGGCCCCGGAACCCTCTCCGGCCTCAGATGCTGCCCAGGCCGCAGCTTCTATCCCGGCTCAGTCCCCGGCCAAAGCCAGCCAGTCACCGACTAATGCTCAGTCTCCAGCTAAGGCTCAGCCCCAGGCCAAGCTGGCCTCTCCTTCTGCAGACCCCGAGTCTGACCCAGCCGAGGCAGCTGCGGCCCTCGATGAGACCCAAGCCCCTGTGGAGGAACAGCCAGCTTCCCAGCAGAAGACCCATCCTCTGCTGAAGTAAGAGCCACATTATGACAGCACCGGTGATAATGGTGAAGACACATGGGCCCGAGTTTGTGGTTAGGATACAAAAATAGAGAGACCATTTGATTTTGATGACATAACTAAATTATTCACGACACCTAAATTGTCAATAATGTCTTTTAAGTGTCTTAAAACGTGACAGTCAAGCTGGTAACTATCTGAAAATAATTGTAATGTTTCTCAAGACCTCATGCACATTTCCTTGTGTGTCTTTGCTCCTCAGTCCTTCAGTAATATTGATACTCACACAGCCCTCTGTTCCCTTCCTTTATACCTCTTTCTTCTCATTATCTCCTCCTCTCTCCCCCCCTCTCTCCTCCCGCCCTCTCCCCAGTAAGTCACAGTCCCTGACCAATGCCTTCAACGCTTTCAGCGACTCCTCTTTCTTCCGCGGGGTCTCGAGCTCCGGAGGCGACGGCCAGGAGGAGGCAAAGGCGGAGACCATTCGCAACCTCCGAAAGTCCTTCGCCAGCCTTTTCTCTGACTAGACACAGCCAACAACAACAACATCAAAAAACATAGTCAGCCCCTCGCTGAGTCTGGCCCCCTCTTTTACCTTTGGCCAGCGATGACTTGATTGACATTAAATGTGAACCAGTCTGAGATTAAAATTTGTGTGTTAACTGTTCTGTATTCCCTCCGTCCCTGGTCTCTCCTCTCCCCCTCCACTTTTCTCTGTGTGAGTAACAGTGAGGCCTGCTGGGTAGGATGTTCAGTGAAATGATGACTGCGCCAGAGTCATTGGACTGAAGGAGTTACGTCATTGAATAAGAATAGATTGACTGGAATAACAAAATATTTATTTTTCCCAGAGCACACCTAAAGAATACTTTCAGAAAAATATATAAAAGGTATATTATTCTCGACTACAGATGGGATGTACATACAGTATATATACAGTATATAAATATAAACATGTATTATTATAAAGGGAGATAAGCCAATATTTCCAAAATAAATAAATCCAGTAACACTTTTCAGTTAGCTTTCGTCAGTGGCATAACTCTTTCACTCATTGGCTGGATTTATACACATTTAAAAAAAATAATCAGATATATGATTGTTCCTCCTCACACACACACACACACAGACAGTGAATTTGCTTTGGGTCAGTAAGTGAAATTGCTCATGTTAATCCAGCTCGTCTCTCTGGTCCTTGGCCTCGTCATCATTGCCCCCCCCCTCTTTTTTTTTTTTTTGTCTCTGAAGTTCGTTGTCGTCTGAGGAAGCTGGAGATCCGTGTGTGTGTGTGTTCACCTGTGTTCAGTTGTTATGCATGGCTCCTCCAAGTGGTTCGGTGTGACTTTGGAGCAGTAGGGAGCTCCATCAGTGTTGAGTTTTGCCCTCCGTTGCCTCTCGCTCTCTCTCTCTCTAGATGTTGTAGCCTTATTGTGAACAACTCACAGCTATGTTTGTTAGTTGTGCAGATCTGAGTCAATGACGGCATGGGATCCATTCATTTACCTGAATTAGGAAACGAGTGAAGGCTTGATCGATCGACGCCTCGTTAGTTTTTAGAGCTGTGGGTTTGTTCCAAATGTGCCAGACTGAGCAAATCAATCCTTCAAGGTAAATGAATGCATTTCAAACAGTCACTCATGTCTGTTGCTGTGACTGGTGATATATTGTTTCACCTCTGTGTAAATCTATCAACAGTATTGTACTTTGTTGATTATTCTCATAAAAAGACATTGAGACAGTAGTGCAATAACACCTCGACATGACTGTTGAGCACTGTCAACCTGTTATAAATATATATATGACCATACATACATACAGGACCTGTGTATCTGTCAAATACCTTCTTCTTACATTGCCCTTTAAGATTCCTTTCAGTGGCGACTCTCCAGGTTGCTTTGTACTGCCGTTGGATGTCAGGGTTTCGATTAATATGCCATATTACAGTGTTGGTTTTTCAGGACTGAATTTAAGGCAACCTGGGATGAACCTGCCCAAAACTTGACTGGTTGTTTTCAGTTGCTGCATTTCAAGTCCATATGTGTAGAAAATATTTAAAAAATACATAAAGAAATCACGTAACTACTGCATATCAACCTCTCTGCTTCTCCATCATTAGTACTATGTTGCAAGTAGATTAAAACATATTGTATTTGTATGTATGAACGTGTCATCTCAGGAGTTTATTTTTTGTAATATATTGACTGATTTATTTTTTTGAAGTCCCATATTTATGGTATAGTATATTCTTTGTTTTGTATTGTGTTTTTATTTGTAATGCAATACTGCTTTGCATGATCTGGTGACTGAAAATGTTTAATTTTCTGTACAGATAAAAGTTAATAAAGATGTGGTTCCATCATTTCACTCATTCACAAAGTGAGATCCTCGATGACGACTGTAGCTTTTGTTAAAGGGACAGTTGTTATTAGGCATCAGTTTTACCTAGCAACTACAATTGCATTCTGTAGAGCGTACAGCTCCGCCAAGGCCCAACAGTCTCCTTAAATGAAAACAAGCCTTATAGGTCAGGCCACATTTTGTCACAGGTTTCTAGCTCTATTTGTTGCCATACAGCAGCTAAAAAAAACCTTCACCCTTATGAAACTACATTTAAATCCACTAGATCCTGATTTTATTTAGATTCACACTAAATATGTCTGAATTTTTTCATCATGTTTTGTAAATGATTCTTTGAGAAATCAATGAAAATGCGGAAAAACCGCCCATATATCTTGCAATGTTATAGGAAGTGAAAAAAACTACCTGGATCCAGCCTGTGATCCAGATTTAATGGCTTCTCTCCTGACCCGCTCTGCATCATTCTACCAGGTTTTATCTAAATGTGTCCAGTAGTTTTTGCATAGTCCTGCTAACAAAGAACAAACACAGATGAAAACATCACTTCCTTGGCGGAGGTAAAGAATGAGGAAGAATCTGTACAAATTTACCTCAATATCTAAATATTGAGATCGAGAAGCATCAACACCTGATTGGACAGACTCTCTTAATGTGAGTGTCCTGGTGTATCATTGTGAAAGTGGCATCATGACTAATGTCCCACATTTACAATTAAAGTCTCTTCTCATGAATAGATGGAAGGAACTAGCTGTGCTGAACCAGCAGATGGCACTATACACATGTGGAGAAAGCTGGGACACATAAAATAATAGGCCCAATTATCATTGTTATTATTGATATTACTATAAGAAGGAGATGACAGTGAGGATCATAATGATGAATTGATGATATGATAAATGATCTTTATCCACCTCTCATATGCTCAATGTCATTGACTGCCCTCCTCAAACCCTCACACATACAAACACAACTGTAACATGATGTCATGCACACTGATCTATACAAACACAAATCTAGATATGCAGTCAACAACATCATAGTTTATAATATATATACATTTAAACATATGTGTGTGTATTTGTTTGACTGTCTTTGACTGTATTAATGGTAAAGCACCTTTATCATGAGGTATTTGACTTTATACTAAATTTAAAATGATTAAGACATTTTACAACGTTCTGTATTCTGCCATCACAGATAATGTGAATCACACACACACATTCAGATTCAAGACACACTTTGAACACAATACGTGCAGTGATGACAGAGGAAATGCTCGCCGCTCAGTTCTCAGTCCACTTGATGACCAGTCAGTGGAGATCTGTGGGAACATCTCCGTCATTCAGCTCATAGGGACGTGCACGTGGGCGGCCGACGCACCGAAACAAGCCTCATCGAGCCAAACCCTGTTTATCTTGGTGCTCGTCCCAACCAACATCATTACATCTAGATTCACTCTGTTAATCTGCCAATATATTTGAGGATGGAGAATCATCTCAGCCTATTTCCTGGTGTCGAGCATCGCTGCTGATGCTGATTTTGAACAACTGGCTCCCCCCCTATATTCCTCAGACATGTCAGTTATCTATCTATATTAATCACTATGTCAGTGAGAGTCTTGAAAAGGCACACGAGTGCTTTGACAATGAGCATTTTCAGAAATCAGGACTCCGGTCTGCTGGGACTCCACTGTACAAACAATCAGAGATTATTGCTTCGTTTTGTTTGTGACAGCAAAACTCTCAAGGGCATAATTTCCTATTTAGTTCAGCACAAAGAAATTGTGCGTGGGGAGGATGATCATATGTCTGAGAGACAGTGAGAGAATGTGTCTGTAGGTCTGTGAATAAGCAAAGAGCAGCTGACTTAGTTCATATGGTATCGAGTTATGATGGAGCAGATGGCTGTATGGTGAATATAGAGCTGGGTTAGCACAAAGACTTGAGGCAGGGGGACACACCTGTCCTGGCTTTGTCCTCAGGTATCAATGCCCCACCTCTAACTTGACATGTTTTATCTCATTTGATTAACTTGTAAAAATACTGAAATGTGATAATTAATGCTTTTACAGCAAACGTTTTCGTGGCCTGGAGCAGTATCTTTACGTTACAACTCCTTCTACAAGCATAGTCCATATTTGCAAACTTTCTGATTATTAGGGTTAATCGATTCAGCTTGATCCCAAATTTAGAGTTTAACAGTAACCAAACAAATACTAAAAATACCTGGCTTTAACGTGAGGAAATCCTGAGTTTAAAGGTAATAAATCTGAAGTGTCTGAAAAGAGCTAGCCAAGAACAAAGACCTGAAACAGGGGAGTAACTGTTTTAAGAGCAGAATATTTCTTGGCCAGGAGCATTTAAATTACTGTGTGCCAACATTTCTAACTATCACATTCAGAGTTTAATGGAAATCAAACAAATTACACACATATCAGGCTGTAACAGCAGGAAATATAAGTTTAAAGGGACAGTATGTCAAATTTAGTGACCTCTAGTGGTGAAGTTAAACGTTGCAGCTGAATCACTCTCACCTCACCTTCCCCTTCCAAACATGAAACCGAACCTGTGGTAGCATTCAGTTGTTATAAAAACTCAAAAGGTGTTTAGTTTGTCCAGTCTGGGCTAATGTAAAAAACATGGCGGCCTCCGTAGAGAGGACCCGCTTGTTGTAAATATAAAGAATTTAAATATAAAGAGTCTTTTCTGGAGTAAAGAAAACTACAATTCATACAATTTAGATGAAATGAACTAGTAAAAACATCATGAGGATTATTTTACATTAAATTTCTGCCGATAGATCCCACTCACCTAAATCTTACACACTGGACCTTTAAATCTTGTTAAGATTTCTCCAGTAAAATCTTCTGAATCTTGCAGACAGTGGGAGTCACCACGAACAAGAGTGAGTAAAATATCTGTGTCACCTCTCAAGTATTTAAAAAAATAATAATAATAGGAGCAAGTTATGGTGACATGATAAAAAAAGACTTGAAACAGGGGTCACACATTAAAATCCATGATGTTGAGGCTTTAACTGTTTTATCAAATGAGATCAACTTAACAGATACTGACATGTAAACGTGACAATTAACTGTTTTAAGGGCGGACTATTTCTTGGCCGGGGGAGCAGTGAAGTTGCAGCTCAGTATGTTCAAATTATTCTGCCAATAAAAATCTAACATTTAATGAAATAGAATGAATTTCAGAAAGCAAACAGATGAAACCAACACAAGAGAGAGGAAACCCCGACGAAGCAAACCTGAGGTGTGGACGGGAATCTGATTCCTCCGCGTGTGTCCTCAGAATCCCGGAGCGAGAGAGAGAGCGAGCGAGAGAGAGAGCGCAAGAGCGAGAGAGCAAGAGCGAGAGCGAGAGAAACACACACACACACACGCGCGCACAAACACACACAAACACACAGACACACACACAGACACACACACACACAGTGAACGGCAGCATGACAACCACAAACCTCCGCAGCGAACACACCGGAGGACCCCTCTGACACTGCATGTGAGTCCGCTGGAAGAGACGAGGAGCCGCAGACCGAGAAAAGAAGAAGCAGAAGAAGAAGAAGCAGAAGCAGAAGAAGAAGGAGGAGGAGGAGGAGAAGAAACAGAAGAAGAAGAAACAGTTTGAAACACAGCGAGTTGTGTGTGTGTCTCCTCAGGTCAGTCTCTCCTTCCTCCTCTCAATGTGTGTTTACCACCTTAAAAGCCTCCTCAGTCTGCTCTCCACACGTTTTTACAGAAAACAACATTTTCTCATTTCTGACTCAAAATAATCCCGTTTCTCCTCTGACGACATGTCGGGACAGAGAAACTCAACAGTGTGTAACTCAACACACATCAAACATGTCATGTTGTCTAATGTTGGCGCGCACACTACCGGATGTGCCATCTTCTTAAGGTGGACACTTTTTTTTTCGTTGACAGGCTGCCAGTGGCGTACACACGGGGTGGGTGGTGATGCTGAGGGGGGGTGGTGGTGGCAGTGGGGGGGTGCGGCCACAGGACTGTCAAAGTTTCACCCAGTCAAATGTCGGTCAGTGTTTGTGTCTGCGGGACGCGCGAGCACGAGCGTGACTCTGACATGCAAACGCCAGGCAGAGATCTTAGCCATCAGAGCCACTGTCATTTCCCAGGTGAGTGCGGGAGCTGCGGGGGGGCTTTGATGACGAGCGGTCACAGGGTTTGTTGGATTTGTTGTGAATAAACAATAAATCCAGGTTGTTGTCTTTTTTTTTTTACTTTTTAAATTCTTCTCTATCCTGGTTGTCATGTGAGGGTTTTGACGACATTGCACAACAGTCTGTGTTTTTGAACTCACTGAAAAATGTTGCGCGTGACTCAGCAATAATGTGAACACACACATACACAAGCACTGGGCCAACACTGATTCATGGCTGAGGTTTGCTGCTGTGTGATGGCTGATGGGAACTGTTTAACAACCTAATCTTGTTTTATTGTGATCAATGAGAGGCTGTTGTTCAAGACTCAGACCGTCACTGCCGACGGTTGAGTCGAGTTCATATAATCTGTCGTCAACTTCCATTCATCACTTCGTATGATCTATATGTAAATTATTATATATAAATAATGGATGGTGGATATTGTGGCTCCTCTGAGCAAAATGTTTTTATGTTTAGGAATTTTGGTCTTTTTTGCTTATGATTTGGAGACACAGAGTTTTGTTTTTTGTCTGTTTGGTCCACAGTAATTCATTTAAAATAAGTTCACTATTTTATTTAAAAATAATAAACATACATTCAAAGTTCACTGAGATAAATAATCTGCTTCAAGCAAATGGAAAGTCTCAGCAAATTAATTTCATCGGAAACTAGTTTCCAGTTAAAAGTGAAGTAAAGTACACGTTCTGGGTAAAGTAAATTAGCTAAAACGTGCCAGATCATCTGTGGTTTTTCAGTCATGTTGTTATGTGTCTTTATGTCTTAACCAGCATCATTTAGTAAGGGTTATTAATTACTTTATTTTAACAACCCAGATTTTTGAACATATATGAGAAAATGGGAGGAAGTCATAATCAATTATTTGTTTACACATCTTGAAAAGTTGAATATTTAGAGTTAAAGGTTTCACAGATTATATCATAATGATTGAGTCAAATCAATCACCATCAAGCTGATTCTATTAATTGTTAATTCTTTATCAGAATTGTGTAGGTGTGAAGTTCATTTAAGGTTAAACTCCCATCACTGATATAACAGCTCTATTAAAGCAGCAGTTTAAGAAATAATGGAGAAGTTGTGAAAAGTCAAACAAATGTGTCATAATGTCATTATTTCTGTTTGACATTTTAATGCAATATTTTTGCTTAAGGTTCAGTTTAATTTGGGAATGTTGCTATAATAAGGTTAAATTGTTTGGTATGTTTTTCCAAGTGTGCATTTTGACATTTGAGTTTTGGATCATTCATTTAACAAGTGTAGAAGGTGCGGAATGCAGAAATTGTACAAAAATATCAGATTAAAGTCTCAGACGATTTAATCAGCCACAGCAAAATATATCATCGGTAAATTCATCTTGTCACATCTGCCCGAGCTTCTTAGTGTGACTGCCTGACTCAGAGTATTGATACAGCACCAGCCATTGAATAATTATTGCTTATCAAGTTATACAATTTCTAAAGGTGTGCGTGTGTAAACGCCTGAGACAGGGTCGGACTTTGCTCTGTTGTTATAAATGATAAATGAAAGGAGTGTTGCAAGATCGCGTGCTATGTTTATGTTGTCCCTCACACGGTCTGAAAGTCATGTTTAACTCTCCGTAGACAGCATGCTCCCACACAAAGCTGTGTTTGAGCTGGGGATGAAAAAAAGCTGCCAAGACAGAATTTGTCTTTATTTTTGAAGATTTGTTTTGGATTAAAAATAAAAAAATTCAGATCAAAGGAGCAGTTGTTGGTAGTGGCTTAAGAACTTATGTATAAAACCTCTGTAAGACTTGAACATAATGTCAATATCAACTCTGCATTAATATCCATATGATAATACTGATTAAACACTGATATGCTCCAGTTCAGCCCACAGATAGTTAACCCCCTTCACACTGCCGACATCCTGTTTTCTTTACTTAGGTTCAGCTCTTCGTATCGTTATGGTGAACGTTTTCAGAAAGCCCACCTATGATGTGGTTCTATCAGACATTGTAGTTCAGTCATAAGGTTATCGATTTGTTTTTTGTAAATTAGGTGTAATTATTAACTTCAAGGCTGATCATTTCACAATTGTCTTCTTACAGCGGCGTTTTCTTTTAACAGCAAACAAACATGGCACGCAAGCAGGTTGTTTGCAGATGAAAAAATTCAGCTCCACCAGATAATCTTTTATGTCTCTATCGCAGGATTTTTTCCATAGTGTTTATTTTTTTCAGTATTGTAGAATTAGACTTTAAATCCAGCCATTGAATAGACAAGTAAATTAACTGGATTAAAAAAAAAATCCACTTCTTTCTTAACAGCAGTAACATTTTAAAGTGGTTTAATTAAAGCGTATTTTCTGTATTATTGTATATATTTTATTGTTGTACTGTTGCTGCCAAAAGGCTCTGCATAGTATTATAAGGAAAAAAGCAGTTTATGTGTTGCTGTTCTCTCAACACTGACACGATGTCGAACAGAGAAAACACTTCAATCACAGCCACATTTACCATCTGAGAAGTGACTCACGTTCAGTGTTTCATCAAAGCAAATTTTTCCGTACTCACCTATTTACATTTTGTATTAAATACTGTTTTACTGGATGAGGGAAAATACTTGTATGCAATGTCTTGAATGATTGCTCTTGGGCCATGTTCACGATAATTTGCTGACATCTGAAAACATCTATTTCTCGTCACCATTCACAGTAATAGTAATCTGCATTTTTAATCGACAAAACCTGATCATTCACAAAATACTGGCACTTAAACGCAGCACTTGGTAGGACTTCTATGTGTTAGTCTTTTTGTTGCTTAAAGTCTGGCTAATACATTCCCCAGCATCAGTGAGAGGGCGTCCTTGACTTAGGAAGACCTATTGTCTCAGAGTGGTTCAGAGAGTAGGCTACTGATGGCCTCTGGATTTTCATTAAAGAAAAAGTCATATCAGGCAGGTCTGTAGCTGATTGAGGAGGATTGAGTAATGTTTTGAAAGTGTAAAAAGATTTGTAAGTATCTGCTTTACTGCTGTTTTTTAAAACCTTTGTGGGAGCGTCTGATAACCCTTCAGCAGGGTTACTGGATCAGTATGCAGCTTCTGCATGGTATCATTCAGCAATCGGTGAGGCAGGTGAGATCAACCAGGTTTCCAGAAGCTACAGTCAAGCAAATTAAGTTTAGGGTGCAACTGTAAGGCTATCTGTGGTACAGTTTCTCTTTCAAAGTTCTTGAAATAATGTAAAAAAAAAAGAGACAGAAATCACATTATAGCTCATGAACAAATAGCTGCAGTAAATATTAGTGAGTAAGATTTTACTCACCAGGTGAACTCATGTGTAATCTTGTGCAATCTGGAAACATTAAGAAGAGTTTACCTGAGAAATAAACAGGAGGAAAAAAAACCCAGGTCTTGAACTTGAGAATATTACACAGTCATTTCAGGTGCGATATCTTTTATTTTTAATGCTAAATAACATAATCTATTTTTAACTGTTGGTTGATTTACAGCTTTGTGTTTTGTCAAGCCTTTGTTGTAACAATGTCACCATGTTTTCAGATGTTAGCAATTACTATTGATTATTTGTACAATAGCACGTCAGAAAGAATTGACCACCACATAATAGGACCCAAGTTGGAATCAACCAGAATTATCCTTCAATAGAAGTCTTTAGAATAGTTGTTTTGGTTCCCAACTTATTGCAGGACCCCGATCAGGAAATGAGCCAGGACTCATTATAAGACCCAATTCATTTCAGCTACTGTTCTGCTTTAATGGTGCATCCTCCCAGACAAATTCCTAAATACTCTAATAAAAAAAAAAAAATATTTCCGATGCACTTTAACATAGATATTATTCAACTGACAGTAGGGAAATCCAGTAACCTTTGTCCTAATTTCCCTTTTAGAAAGATGTGGGAGCAAACATCATCCCCTCAGGTCAAAGCGGTTGTCTCTTGTGGGAACAGAAGAGTGACTCAGACATGTGCACAAGGTTCTCCATTGGTTAAATCACTGTGACACTGCTCGAGACAGTATGACGAGTCCCTCCCCCTCAATTTGTAATTGGTGAATGATGATAAATACCAAATGTCCATAGCAATGAAACAGGAACAAAGACTCATAATAGCCGTCCCTATTTATGAAAACTGTTTTTGTCGATGGTGCATTTGTCATTGTCATTAATTCTTTGATGCATAGGTCAAATGTCTGCTAGGCTGTGCCACCTTAGCTATTTGTCAACTGGTCCACTCAAACAGATGTACTACTTGACATTTGATCAACATTTTTGAAACACTTGGTGCTTTATTTCAGACGAACATAGACTTTTGTGGTTGGAGACTGTTGATATTTGCAGTTGTCAGCAACAGCATATTTCATCAACTGTAGCTAGCTAGTTATAGATGCTAATGTTACCTCCGGGAGTTGGTTGAAGTTGATGTCTGACAAGATCGGCTTTTGGACAGCAGGGATGTCCTTGTCAGGAATGGGGCAAGTTCAAACAAATTGTTCATAATACGCAATTAGTTGAAATATATAGGACTGCCCCTAATGTCCTCCATTTCCATAGCAAAACAACATAACATTACTGCCTCATATCACTGACAGAGGGTATGCAACATTTCTAATACAAACATGTCATTAAAGTGTGAATAGAGCTTTTCCTCCATGTTGGCATAAATATTCAATGAAAAGAGCGACAGCCCAAGTAGTACAGTAGTTACACAGACAGGGACATTTGACAGGCCTGCAGTAGCTTGTTAATGTTGTTAAACTATGATTAGACACTGTTCAGTTGAGGGGGTCAACAGAAGTCAATTGTTGAGCCAAGTCTGACACATATATTTCCTTGAACCTTCCTTTTCAAGACAATTCAATATCCGTTTTCTGCATACACCTTTCCCGGCAAACATACTCTATTTCCAGTATATTCTATGAAAGACTGGTACGTCATGTGTTGTTTTGTTATTGTCACTCTCCTCTTTTCCTC